AGGTCTTTCAGACCGAAAACCTGAGCGCGCTCGGTGAGTGATGGGGACTGAGACTTGACCACCAACTGGGGTGAAACTGTGAGAGCCACAAACAGAGTAGGAGCTTGAAGTCCAAGCTGCCACCAAAAGGCAGGCTGGTCCACAGGCTTCTGTTCTGTGGCGGGAAGGTAACATACAGACATGGGGAACACAGAGGAGGCCCCTCTGCACAGAGTGAGTCCTGGGGCTAGGACTGGGTAGCAGCATCCTGAACCTCAGGACATGCACAGTCTGGGGGCTTGACTGGGGATGGTGTGACTTCTAAGGGTGCTCAGCTGAGCTGGCCGTCCTGCCGTTCTTGCTGAAAGGGACATAATGTAGCAGTCAGGGATGTCCAAAGGCATCCAGTGTGCATGCCCAGCTTTGGAGCCCGGGACTCCCCAAATGCCAAACAGAAGTGGGGACAGGAAGTAAACAAGCAGCCCCTAGGCCTGCAGCCATGGATCCTGCAGCGAAACTAGCCCAAGAACCGTGGCTACATGTCCCCTATCTTTCCTTCTGTCCCACGATGGTCACTGGCCACCTCCATCCAGGAGCAATGGACAGAGAGTCAGCTCCCAGATCTAGTACAGAGCAGGCCATTGCTCCAGCACAGCTTACTACTGGCCCAGTATGGCCACGTGGGTGTGCAAATATGCAAATAGAGCAAGCACTTGAGACTTTAGAGCAGGCCAGGAAGGGCAGCCCTCCCCTGTGACCTAAAATCCAAGTCCCCAAGTCCCTGTGGGTCCTCAGTGAGTCCTCTATAGGAGCAAGCAATGAAAAGGCACCCAGGGTCTGGGGACACAGGTCAGCATGAGGACCCAGGTTTGATCTTCAGAATCCATGCTACTGCTGGGGACTTAAGGGTTTCAGTGGCCAGCCAGCCTAGTTGAAAATGGTGACCTCCAGGTTCTGTGAGAGATGCTGTCTCACAGAAGGAAGGTGGAGAGCAGAGACCGCCAGAGTCAATCTCTGGCCTTTGCCGGAACATTCAAGTGCAAAGCAAACCCTCGGGATGGGGCTGCTGGCAAAGTGTGTTTGCTTGGCTTACCCCCAGCTCCTCGTGACCTAGGCAGGCCTGTAATCCCTACACTGGCGCTGGTGAGGTGCAGGGAGGAGGATCTGGAGTATGAATTCCTCAGTTGTGCAAGCTTGAGGCCAACCTGGCCTACCTGAGACACACCTCAGAAAGACAGGGAACCCACAAGCAAGTTCCCAAACAGCCTTTTCCACAGTGGGGGAAGAAAGACAGCTTGCCAAAGCCTTGGTGACTTGTTTGGGCATCTAATGTCACAGAAGGACCCTGGCCTCTTCAAGGGTGGCAAGCCCCTTCCCCTCAGCCCCCGAAAGTCTGTTAGGTTGAAGGGGAAGGTAGGAGACATGGCAGGTGGCCAGCAGGTAGGTACTACTGTCTGGGACTCTCTCCCCACAGACCTGCTGCTGCTGACTGGCCTGGCCTCGTCTGTGTTCATCCTGTCGGAGCTGCTCAAGCTGTGTGAAAAGTTCTTCTCCGGAGCCAAGCCCACTCAGATGCCCCTGGAGGCCGTGTGACGGAACCAGTGTGTCACAGCCTTGAATGACCTGTGTCCTTGGATACCGCTGGCCTGTCCCCGTCCTTCTGTACCACCTACTCCATCCAAGAGGCAAATTTAAAGACCGTGCAGCACTGGGCCACTGGCTCCACATGTCTTCCTGGCCTGCTGGGACATCATGTCCTGCACAGGACGGGGTGGGGCTTTTACTAAAACATGGCGCTATTTATTAAACCACCGTGTTTTTTTTAAACCTGTCTCTGTGCTTGAGCAATGCAGCCCCACGTGGAGGCACAGGACTTCACGGCCACCAGGACTATGGCCACTCTGCCCACGGACGTCCCCCACTGAGGCCTTGCATCCCCATCTAAGATGCGGTTCTACAAAGAGCTTTGCCTCATGATTTGGAGTTCAATCCCCTGTGCTCCGGGGGTGGGGGAGGGGAGGGAGTGACTCCGAAAGTATGATTTATGTAAAATCTGATTCAAAACAAAGACACAGTGGCATTGCTGAGCGAGGATGGGGCATTTAGTGAGAGCTGAAATTGTAAAAAGCTGAAATCCCACAGACCTTTACCCTCACTCCGATGGAAGCGCAATGGTGCCTACTGTGTGCAATGGTACTACTGTGTGCAAAGCTCTCACGCTCACTCCGTGGACGCCAAAATAAAACCCACTCCTGACAGGGATGCCTCAGAAATACAAACACGGATGGAAGCTGCCTCCCCCAGAAACATCTCAAAGCACATGTTAGCATCACACCTCATGGAGAAAGAACCTAGACTCTCCATGGGAGTCAGGGAGGAAGAGGCGGTGGAAGTGTCACTGAGGTGAGCACTCACCTGACATGCCAGCTACTCGGGAGAGCTAGGGCAAAGAGGTTACAAGCTCGAGGTCAGCCTGGGCAACTTAGCAAGACTCATGATCCCCCTGCCTCTGCTCCTTAAAGTAAAGGGGTGGGGCTCAGTCCTTGAGCGTCGTCACCTGGCACAGATGAGCCCCTGGGCTCCGTCCCACACTGAAGACATGAATATGGGGAGATGTGTAATGTCACCGGAGGAGCCATGCCTGCACACTCAAAATGGTGACCTAGAGGTGAACAGAAACTGCTATGACGGCTGTCAGAGGGAGTGGGGACCTGCAGCCCAGCGTCACTAGCTGGCAGCTGGGCCTCTCAGCGCCCTTCACACTTCTTCTCAAACAACGGGAAGCCCACACTCCTGTATCCCAAGAGGCTGGACAGGTGGATCCCTGATAATCAGGGCTGGGGGTCACGGTACGAAAGGATTCAGCAAGCATCAGGAACATACCTCACACACGTGTGCTCATGTGTACCTCACACACGTGTGCTCATGTGTGCCCAAGTATACTGTCTCACAGGCACACGTCACACACATATCTGTGCAGAATGCACATCTGTACACGGACATATGCCCCAATAGAGTATATATGTACACAAGCATAGGTACACACACACACGTACACCTGGGCAAAGGTGTGCATCACACTTGTATGAGTATGCATCTGCAAACGGAGACGTACGTGCAGACAAACATGCCCATTTATATATAGTACATAAATAATTTTAAAGTAACTTAAGTAGAGGAAAGACATACCATTCAACACAAACGGTACTAGGGGCTGGGGCACAGCAGGGAGCACTTGCCTAGTTGGCACTAAGCCTCCACCACCTCCCACCCCTGTTACATTCCTTAGTACTGCCAGAAAGAAAAACCAGCGTCTTTTAAACCAACAAGTCTTGTGGTTCATCTTAAAGACAGTGCCAGATGCGCAGGAAGGGTGGTCACTATGGCAACAGTCAGCCTCCAATCAGATGCTGACCTGCCTGAAGGGATGGCGAACTTGCACAGCTGACACATACATTGGGAAAGATGGAAAGAAATCCTGAGCAATTCCCACTGAGGGACAGAAGATGTGCGGACACGGCTGTGCCCACCACCCCACCCCCACCCGTGTGCAGAAAGAGGCTTCCAGAGAAGCCTGGGGAGGAGGGGATGAATCTTCCCAAGCTGTTGGTCTCTCCTCTCTGTCCTTCCAGTCCCTCACTTAGGCGCTCATTATAACAACCACCTGTGCAGCACGGTCTGCGTTTCTTTACCTCTTCCTTCTAGCTCTTTCTGGGCCCGCCTCCGCCTCCGCCTCCGCCTCCGCCTCCGCCTCCGCCTCCGCC